AGGGTGTGAGGAACGAACAAGTTACACAAAAGGCTCCCAAGTTCCATTTTACTTTGACTCAAGTAGTTAAAAATAATAAGGGTATTTTATTACATGTATACATTAAACACAAAGGCCTTTTTTAGTCTTTGCGCACAGAGCAGCCAGAGAATGAACAACACACGAATTCACTATTTAAAAATCATTAAACCCGAGTTTATGTTATTATTTAACAATTTTAAGATTTTGCATATTGAAACGGAAAAAATAATAGAAATGCACAGGAGCTGTAAACGCTACATGTAATGACAGCAGACTCACTGATGGGGAAACTGAAATATTCCTGAAATTTGACTTAATTGTTTTGACTAAATTTGACTCGCGCTGTAGTTTCATGTTTGTAGAACTGACTCATTAAATAAGAGGAGAAAACATAGTTGCCTGGAAAAGATCGAAGACTTTTAAATGTTTAGTATCAGTGAAGATGGACGATACTACGGTGATCCAGTACCTTTGAATCCCTTTAACGTTCCCAGTACTAATACTGGTTACTAGTTTTCAGTATTGGGCCTTTTGAAACATTAGGTACCTTCATGCCTTCCAACAGTGTTTGAGTACTTTAGACCTCCGGGTGGTACCCGGTATTTCTACTATATGAAGACCTGTGAAGATTGCAGTTTGTAGTTCAAGATTACAGTTTTGGTACTGAACTGTTATATTTTTGTAAGCTTCACTGTCCTCTCAGACCGAGATGCGCACGCATATTAGACTCACGAGACTAACTCTGTGTCTCCTTCGTTTCCAGGTGTGGTTTAAGAACCGCAGAGCTCGGAGGAAGCGCCAGTGAAGCTCGCTCTTCTTCTCCGAGAACATCTTCATCTCCCAGACTTCCCGCCTGCTGTTCACCTGAAGCCGAAGTCCCTCAAACCCTTATTTATGACACTGCCCCCTGGTGGCAGAACACGAAAAGACTTTACGCTGCACATTTCTGAGCCTTGTCTCAATATCACGATGAACCTCAGGAAGAATGAATGATGAAATGTTTCGTTCGGACTGTTTGGCCTAAAATTTAATTCATAAATTATTATTATTATTTTTTTGAGCATTCAAAAATGAAAAAAAAACAAACAATGCGCACCTTTGAAGTTTGTAACTTGGAGAGGTTTATGAAAATAAATGGAGTTATGATTAAAATCCATAAAATCCAGTTCTGTGTGTTTGTGCCTTTATTCACAGAATCAGTAACATGATTTATAATGTTCTTTGTATTGTTGCACATTCAGGAACACATGACAGGTAGTGTTGCTGCAGGGCTGGACTGGGACAAAAAAATCAGCCCGGGCATTTTGACCTGTGACCGGCCCACCATGGTATTATAGGAAACGCCATAAAGCCTTTATAATAAACTTAAACCTCACCATCCTCCCTGTTCTGCTATTCTAAACAGTACTTAAAAATATAAAACAACCCACACATTACATATTCCTCACTATACCAACTCCCAGCAAAAAAAGAAAAGAAAATAAAAATAGGGAACCACTCCCCCACCCTCTGCCTCAAGATGCTTAACTGACAAAAACGTTTTTAATTTAATGCACGTATAAAACAAATGCACAGAAATCTGTTATTTTTCTCCAGTAATTAAATAGATTCAACATCTTTCTTCAACAGAACTGCAGACTGCACAGATGGTACCTTAACAAAGGAAAGAATACTATAACTTACTAGGACATATAGATTAATATTTACTGAATACAATAATGGAGTTCTATACATTTTAATCAGATGAAAACTTTGGTTGTAAGATTCAGATAATTATTTATTTAAAGCGAGACATTTTAAATGAGAATAAGAAAGTATTTCTTTGTGCCCCCCTCTCCCTGTTAATGCCCTACCTGCCCCCCTGGCAACACTTTGCTAGACCCGCCCCTGCACAGTTACCAGCTGTCAGC